CCTGGTTCGCCCGCGAGGGACTCACTAGGTTGATTTCGGCCCCGGCCGGGGAGCAGGCCGAGGAGGGGGAAAGATGCAGTGTACCAGTACAGCAGTACAGCAGCGCTTTGTACCGCTGAATGTATCTGCATGGCACCACCATTCTCCTCGCGTGCGCGGTACGGTTATCCACACTCTGCCGTCCCTTTAATACCGGCTGTTGTACACCAACGCAATACACTGCAACGCAATACACGCTATTTTCTTACAAACTTTTTCCCACCCTCCCTCTGTGTGGATGACCCATCTTCATCAGGTCGCAAAAGACCTTGAGGATCGGTACGGACAAGGTCCTGGCGGTTCGCACACTCTGGTATGACAAGCAGTAGTTGTACGAGACCAACGGGAAGGGGCGAGGCAAGGCCACCAGCGTCGACGACGGGCGACGTGTCATCACCAAGGAGCAAGAGGATGGACTGAACGAGTTCATGGGCGAGAACGAGGCGGGACGTCAGGTCTTCCGCCGTACCGTCAAGGATTACTTGGAGCGTTCGTACGGATTAGAGATGTCAAATCGTGCCGTGGGAAGGTTGCTGCGGCGCCTTGGTTTCAAGCGCCGTAGGGGCAGGATCAAAATACCTCCGTTGAACGAGGAGAGGAAAACCGCATCCGCCTCTTTCTTGTTGAGATGGACCTCGCGAAGAGGGCCGAGGACGCTGGGGTCGCAGTCATTGTGTACATGGATGAGAGCTTTGTTCACCAGGCGCATGGTTCCGCGTAATCATACTTTCCTTCTGACGATAAGGGGGTTGTGCAGGATGGGGTAGGCCGTACAACGGGGAAAGGTTGCGTATGATCATGGTGCATGCGATCACGGAGCACGGGCCCTTGGCCGAGCTTCTGGAGGGATTTCCTATCCGTGAGGGTTGGTTCAAGGATAAGGAAAATCGTGCGAAGAAGATTAAGCCTGGGGAGGCGGATTTCGACATGTCAGATGAGCAGACAGCAGAATTTCTGTGGCAGGCCAAGTTGGCAACTGGAGATTATCATAACGCCATGACAGATGGGACGTTCATGCAGTGGTTGAAGCACCGACTTACCCCGGCCTTCGATGCGCAGTTCAAGAACAAGAAGATGTTTCTCGTTCTCGATAACGCCTCATACTACCACTGCTTTGACGAGGAGCTCAAGGTGCCCGAAACCAACAGTAAGAAGTACAACGTCGAACTCTTCTGGAAGTACGGTTACACGTCGTTCAAGGTGACGCGTGAGTCGGAGGGTATGGCTGCTGAGTACAACTTTGAGGTGCCGGCGCAGGGGTCGTTACCCAATGCGAACCGCAAGAACGGCGTTAGCAAAGAAGAGATAGCCTCCGTCACTCGGACGTACTTCAAAAAGAATTTCCCCAAAAGCTCGAGGAAAAGGCTGAGACGTACATGAGGGAGAAGGGGAGGGGGTTAATTTGGACACCGCCATACATGCCGACTTTCCAGCCGATCGAGCTGTTCTGGCAGCACGGCAAGCATCACGTGAGCATTCATTTTGAGAAGGTGCGGAACATGTTGGATATTTGGAAGCAAATCCGTCTCGGTTGGTATGGAGACCCGGAATGGGACGGTCAGGAGGGGGGGTGGAAGGCAGCCAATTGTGGAATGTTGGTGGAGCATGCCATTGGCAACATGAATGAGTGGATCGGCCTGTATGGTGGGAACCTGAGCGGTACGATCGGTAGCCTCGAGTATCCAGTGGCAGAGTACCAAGAGGTTATGGCCGAGGAGGAGATAGAGGATGGGGTGGAGGAGCAGACGGATGAGTGGCTGGGTGAGGACGAGGAGGATGCCATTGAGGGCTGAAAAAAAATGCAAAAAAAAAAAATCCCTTTTTTGGGCCAATATTTTTCGACTTTGATTCACGAACAGCGACACGAAGGGGGCTGCACAGAAGGTGCCATCCGGAGTGCAACCTGACGTATTGTTTGATATTTCGCAATTGAGATGGCTGTATCACCCTCGTTCAAACAATACATGGATCACCGGTGCAAGCCCTGGGGCCGCATCGTTTGAACACCGCGCTTCAATTTTTTTGGAACATCGCCGGGTACGATCACACACTAATTCCGTATTATTACTCGAAGGCGTGGTGCTTTTTTTTTTTTAGTGTAGAATGACAGCTCTGTGCTTTGTCGTCAAATTGCGCAATAGTTTGTGGTAGGGGACTCCGTATTGACGAAGTTACCCCATATTCCTATTTCGTCTTGACTACTATGTTCCACCGTAGTAGCCATCATGTGCTACCTCAAACTGTTCATAAATCATCGTGATACCAGAGAACGAGCTGCCGGGGTGCGGGGTGCCTTAAGGTGCCCCTAATACCCTCCGTTACTCTAATTCCTAGAGTAGCTTTCGTCGGCGTATCGGTTCGCCATTGACGCACATCACCCGTACTCAGGTTCCAAACTAGTGCTCTCCCTTGCTCCAGACAAAACTCAATGCCCAAGCACCCAGCCTGTACGACACCCTAGACCCCACACAGCACGCGGGGGAAGGAAGGGGAGGGGGGCTTAACATCGATCTCTTCCAACGAATGTTTCGATTTTACCCGGACCCACCCGCCAACAGACGTCCCCGTTTCGAATGAACGTGGGTGGTGGCCAAGAGCCGCTTCGCTTGTTGTACTCCACAGTGATGCTATTGAAGAACGTAGTACAGGTGCCGTAGAAGCCCTTCCTCTTTTGAATGATGGTGAACACCCCTGTCTGTGAGCCTCTATCGATAGCGAACTCTTTCGGCAGGAATCCCTAGAGCGGAACGAACGGCTCGATCCTCGGATGCCGGAATGCACACAAACGCGCCCTGAACCACAGCAGCCCTTCCTGTTCTCTCCTCCGAGCCGAACGAGAATTCTCCACTGCGGACAAGAACTTCATGGCCACATCTGCCACCACGAGAATACGTCATCAATCGCAGGGTACGGGGTTTCTTCGGTCTGCTATTGCATTTTCAAACCAACGCGGTGCTCGCGGAACGCGAACACTTTTTTACCAATTTTTTCCGCAGCCCGTTTTTCGCGGGGGAGCGGGTCCCCTCTCCTCTCTCAACCAACGGTAGAAGTCATCTTACAACAGCTTCTTTTACGGTTGTGAAAATACAGAAGTAGGCAATTGGTTGTTTGCAGCGTCAACTCACCGTCTCTGGCGTGGCATTGTACGCCTTCCCTAAGCTGCTTCGATGGCCCATATGGGCGAGCTACTATGTTGTCGATGGCACAACTTGCACGTGCCGTCAAGCGAACGCAGCCAAGGGCCATGGCGGACAGGGACACAAACTATGACTCAAGCTTGCAAGTCGCGATGGTCTTCATTGGCGAGCGCCTGAATAAAACCGATGTTAGCGCAGGCACACTCACCGTAGACACCGACTCTCTTCTGGATTTGTATGGTTCACCTGATTGCCTCTGGCAAGCCCGAGTTTATCCGAAGGCCCTCGGCCAAGAAACGTCTCATGCCGTCTTCGTCACGCCAGAAGAAAGCCTCCCTGACCCAACACGGTTTTACACCGAGCCGAGGGAGAGTGAAAAGGAAATGTTTCATATCGCAATCTTTCCGAAGGATTCATTTCAAAATGCTTCGATTGCGGGAGCTGCCGGACTTCTTGCAGTGGTGGCTTTCGACTCATCGTCGAGAGCCCTCTCTCTGGTCCTTTAGGTATCCTTTGGCCTCGCCTTAGGGGAAATTGCGCACACGCAGGCCTGTGAGAAGCACCGCACGTCTTAAGCAACGCACAGTTTCGTTGTCTAAGATGGACTCTTCTCTCACCGATTACCGTTTGGCGGCGAGCTCCGGCTTCCTAGTCTTTCCCAGCGAGGGTCCCACCTGTTGTTGAGGGATACACAAACAGCAACACAAACACCTGACGAGGATATCTAGACTATTGCTGTACATACATGGTGCAGAAATATACAAAAGATGCACGCCCCGGAAGAGTGCACGGGCGCTTTCATTCGCGCGCATGTACTTGAAAGAAAGCTCGTCAGAGTGTCACCCTTGTTTCGAGCAATGCCTGACAAGGTTGCCCTTCTCCCCGGAATATACCTGTTCCCCACCCACAGCCATTGGCAGGAGTTTCTTGGCCGTTAAGGGGTGGCCGGATGGAGGATCTCTTACGATCCTTGCAAGTCCCCCCCATGCACAGCCAGAAGATAGACGCTTCGAAAGCGCAGCCACCACATTTACGCACAAGTGAGGTGGTTGGCCGTCGACACCGTTCCATGGAAGTAGTAGATGGTTTCCCTCAGTTTCCGATGCACAGCCTGGGGCGAGCTGCGCGCAGGGGCGTACATATGGCTACAGGCTTCCGAGTTGTTGTGCTCCACCCTTTCTACGGAACACTATCAAAAGCATGGCGAAAGTGAAAGAGTCCTCGCATACCCTACCTTCATCTCTACATCGTCACAACGGCAACGAGGACCAGCTTACAGGACACCAACTCACAACTCAGCGCAGCTATCGAGCCATGAGTAGTCGAGCGAGTCCCCCAAGGGCCAGATGCTGCAAGCCGTGCCCCAAGTAGCGGCCGCCTCCTTGTTGGAAACCATGATATGTGCGTTGGATGGCCTGCTCGCCCGCGCGGCACCGTGCGTTGTTGATTACAAGTCACTTAGCAGTCATGTCAGTTTCGTTTTCTCTAGAAACGTTCCATTCATTTTCCGCGTGGACGCGTGAGAGCTCAGGATTCCGATTACTCGGCTCTCACAGAGCAGCATTTTCTCTCACCGATCAGCATTTTCCGAATGTTCAGGCCCTCTCACAACCATCGGTTTGACCCTTTTCTCGCTTCGATTTTCGTTCCACACACACACCTTCTCTCCCACACACCTTCTCGGCTTTTGATTACCTCTCGCCCTGTTACTGTTTCCTCTGCCTGTCTCTCTCTTTCTTTTCTCTCTGTCCTACTCGTCTCTCAGATATGCCAGCTCGCAAAAATTATACCGGATTATCCATTCTGGACACCGGAGTCTCTTTTCCGCTTTCCATCCGATCACACACGGGCTGCCATTTCTGCCCCTTTGATCTCTCTCTGTCTGAAACTCAGGCACTCCTTTGCGGATCTTCCCGTTACACGAGGCCCATCGCTCTTCGTTTGGCTCTCTGTCTGGATCTCAGGCACTCTTTTGCGATCACATCAGGTCTCTCTGTTTGGAACTCGCACCCGGGCTTTTTTTCGTTTTCCCGTCCGTTTGGATTATCCCCCTACTTTCTCCGATTCGCCGCTTTTTCGACACCTGCAACTTGTGCAGCTTGCGCAGCCCTCTCTCTCGCCCTCGCACACGCGCTCCCCCTCTCCTCTCCACAAAGCAGAATTTTCCGATTGTTCAGGCCCTCTCAACATCATCGTTTTGACCCTTTTCTCACTCATTCGATTCAATATTGTTCCACACACCTTCTTGGCGTTTGGTTATCTCTCGCCCTGTCACTGTCTCCGTCCGTCTTTCTGTCTGTCTGTCTGTCTGCGTCTCTCTCTCTCCCCCTCTCTCCCTCTCCTTTCCAACTCTCATATCTCCCAGCTCACTTTAGATTTCATGCTCACAGGCTGGATTGTAATTCCACACACTGGACTCTTTGCAGATATGTGAAAGCCAGGATATTCGTATCTTATTTAATACTTACACAGATACGCAGGGAGTATCCTAAAGAACCTTAGACAGACGATAGTTCATCGTTCTACTCTGGATCTTTACTCTTGTGGGTTATTTGCTCCGACAGGAGTTGGGGTGGATCGTCATGGTTGGTACCGAGAGCCAAAAAGGGTCTCGGCCAACGCCCACTCGCAACCTTGCCCTAGCCTTGACCGAGCACGCTCGGTCACCGCTTGACATTCCTCGTCACATCTCAACAGAGGAAACTGGCCTGCCTCCGGTGGTAGGCATATACCACCTCGCCATATTGGAACCTCAGCTCACACGGAGTTGAGGGAATTCAAAGATGGACTGAATGCTTTTCGCTTCTTTTCCGATCACACATGGGCCGTCGTTCTGTCCGTTCGCTCGCTGTCTGTCTGGAACTCACGCACTCCTTCTCGATCACACCAGATCTACCTCTGCTAGCTGTTGTATCTCACACCCGTGACCATCAAGTGTGGACGCGCCAGGCATTTTGTTCCGCCTTTTCCGCCGGCGGTCTCAAATTCGCCGCTTTTCTGTCATCTACAAGATTCTCCGCCTGCGTTCTCCGATTCTCCGCTTTTTTTTCCGACCTCGGCAACTCGTGCAGCTTGCTCTCTTCTTCGCACACGCACTAGCGCGCCCTCCTGTCATTCCGCCAACAGCATCTTCCACTGCCTACCAGCACCCTCCGTCTTAAGTATAGAGCTTATACATGTTCTATTTCGGCCAGGAGCTCTCTATTCTTCAAGCGCCACATTTCCAGCGGGCCGCCCTCCGGACAGCATTCATTGCGGATTTTCGGCCGCTGTGGACGACCTTCTGTTTTCCGTTCCTGATTTCTTTCTGATGATCACGCTCTCTCAGCTGTATAATGACACGCTGTGCTTTCTAGAGCGGTACACAGCAGTATGTACTAGTTCTCGTTGTCTCTCTCTGGGCTCCGTCTCTCTCGCTCTCTTTCTTTCGCTCTTTCTCTCTCCTTGTCTCGCGCCCTTTCTCTGTGTATAGCTCTCTGTTATCTCTCCTATTCTTTCCGGGGGGAATCTTTGCGATTCGTTCCGGTTGCCACAGCTTTTCGGTACTCCCCTCTCCTTTCGTGCCCCGCGCAGACACTCCCTCTACAGCCGCCCTACGCCCACATGTAGCTTCTTTCGGGCTCGCACAAGGCTCCATGTTCTCATTTCCATCTGTTGCAAATTTGGAGCTGTGTTTTCGTTCATCGTTCTTCTCTCATGGCTTCTCATCATTGCGTCTGGCTCGTTCATCACATCCGGCGGCTCGGTCACACGGAACCTTTCGCCCTTTCACACATGTCATGTATTTCGTGCCAGTCTCTCTCTCCTCTCTCACATACCAATCTGTAGGCCGGGTTATTGCTCTGTCGCTTCGTTCTCAGTCTGGATCTCACGCACTCCTCCTGTCTTTGCGATCACACGAGATCTCTGCTGTCTCTTTTCTCACACCCTGCATCATCAAGTACTAGTATGTACTGATGTACAGGCCTGTCAGGGATTTCTGCAAGGTTCTCCGCCTGCGCTCTCCGATTCTCCGTTTTCCCGACCTCGGCAACTTGCGCTCGCACCCCCCCTCCTCTGACTCCGCCGACAGCACCCTTCACTACCTACCAACACCTTCCTCTCCGTGTATATACATGTCCTCATGCAACATCTTCAACGCCTCTCCTGCTGCCAACCAAGCGATATAACTTTTGATTCCGTTCTTCACGCGCCACAGTTCCAGCGGGCAGCTCCCCATTTCTTCAATCAAAATCTAAGTTGGATTTAGATTGGGCTCTTTCGGGATGTTATTCCGTTTCGGTTTTTTGTCGATCGCACGCTCGCTACACACAGCACACAGACGCGTAGCCGCGTAGTACACACAAAGTCTCGCTCGCTCTGTAGATTGTCTCTGTCTCCCTCGCTATCTGTTTGTTGTCTGTTTGTCTGTCTGTCTGTCTGTCTCTCTCTCTCTCTCTCTCTCTCTCTCTCTCTCTCTCTCTCTCTCTCTCACTGTCTCCCTCTCTCGCCCTCTGTCCCTCCGTCTCCTCAGCTTACACATCCCCACACAGAAATCTGATTCTTCTGAGAAGAGGCCGCAATTCGTTCCGTTCCGGATTTCTCTCTGATCATACTCTCTCAGCTGTGCAGTAGAACACGCTTTGCCCTCTAGAGTTCTCGCTGTTTCTCTCTCTGGTCTCGGTCTCTCTCGTTCTCCTTATTGCTCTACTCTCTCTCCCCCCCCTGTCTCTCTGTCTCTCTCTCTCCCCCCCTCTCTCTCTGTCTATCGCTCTCTACAATCCCTCCAACGTTTCCGGGGATCTTTCCCATTCGCTCCTCCTGTTGCCACAGCTTTTCGGTGTTCTCCTCTCCCCTAACTTCGTGCCGCCCCGCGGAGACGCCCTTCCGTCGTGTTCCGTTGGGGTGCATACACGATGACACGCTGTTGTTCTTTCCAGCAGAACAATAAAGAACAGCATCGTGCTTTCTCAAAAAATGCTTGCGTGTTCCAAGACATGCGTGGCTGCCTGTAAACTCTGTCGTTGTGTGCAATTTTTTTCACTTTGGGTTCATCCAATATGACAACGATGCCTACTGTTCGCGGGAGCATTGGCAAGGCAACCGGACGGGTGACTCCCGAACGACCGATGTTCGGCGAACTGGCAGGGGGGGAGAAGCGACGTAGGAGGGGACAGGAACAGAACTGGCCGAAGTGTGTGCTCGACGACCTGAAGGCATTCGGGGCCGACCGCGGATCTACGACAACCGATCCATGTTGTTTCGGAGTCCCGGTACCGAGACACGGCACCGACGTTAAAGTGGACGGAAGCTGCGAAGGTAGAAGGGGAAGTACCCTGGCATGCGGCGGTGCTGCAGGGAGCTGAGAGGTTCATGACCTCCTGGCACGAGAAGGAAGAAGAGGCCAGCTGAGAACGGGCGCTCAAACGAAACCACAAGCCACCAACCAATGGGGCGGGAGGGGGGCAGGAGACGGACGAGACGGCGAGGGAAGAAAGCAAACTAAGAGAGACGGACCGAGTGGCGCGATACGTGCCGGATTGAATTTCTTTTAGCCAATTTCCCCCCCCCCAACGCTGCGCCATTGCACCAACCCCCCACTAGTGATGACGTACCATTACAATGTATCGCTGGTTGGTCGCCATGTTTGCGTGTTTGCTTGTCGTTAGTCGTCTCTCCACCGTGTGCCTTTTTCTGTCTCTTATTTCTTGTGAATTTCGGCCTGGTCCCTTTTTGTCCTCGCCCTTTATATTTCATTTTCTCTTTCCGTACTGTTTCCTTTTATTTTCTTCTCTTTTCCTCTTTTCCTCTTTTTCTCCTTCTCTCTCTTTTTCTGTGCCAGATGGTCTTGTCTCTGCTTGCGTTGTGAAGTACCAAGATTGAACCAACGGGGTGTACCTCATTCTCTCCGGCCCGTGATGGCGACCCCTAGTCTCAGTTGTTACCTCGCATAGCGCGCAGAGGGAGTGGAGGACTCCAGAATATCTGTCGT